GTCTATGAAGATCGTAAAAATCTCTCTTTTTTGTTACAATTTTATACAATCAATTGTAAATGAAAATGGAAAGAACATCAACCCAAGCACTTCTACCTCAGCTGCCAAAAAACGCCTTACCTTCAAAATCGAGGCAAGCACCGCACCAACATCCAAAACCACCTTCACAGAAGCTGAACCGACCACTGATGAAAGCACACAGCAAACTTCAGCAGAAACACAGGCCTGCTAAATATAGACTTAGCCATTTATATTTTAAATGGCACAAGTGTCATAGAACAAACTTTTTGTTTTTGTATGTATGTTTTCCAAAATTTCAGCCATCTGTTTACATATAGATGTAGCTTTTGGGTAGCATGATGTCATGCAAACTCACTTTTATCTTTTGCAAGAATCCTTGGCAGAATTCCAAGCATCTATTTACCTGTAGATGCTTCAGAATTAAGTGTTGACGATTATCCTTTTTGGATAACTGCTACAAACATCTTTTGTGTATATATTATACGGATTCATGTTTTCTTGATGTCATGTTCATGCCTATGTTAGATTAGCTTCTTCGCAATTCAATTGCACTCAAATGCCTACCTAACTTGGGCCGGCTGTGCTGTGCACAGCCGTAGCCTTCTAGTATATATATATAATATATATATATATATATATTACATCCTCTTTATATGATAGTCCGATTATTGATTTCTTACTTTTATAATTTCGATGATTTCATTATGGTTGAAAATGAAATTGCCGACCGACCCATATACAAATATTAAATTTCCTTTTATATTTATTACATGTATGTTATTTTTAAGCAAAAATAATATAATATATTAAATAAAATTATTAAATACTAAATAATTATTTCTAATACAAATAATAATTTACTTCTATTATTTGATTCATTCGGTTAACCAACAAATTAAACCGACGTGCATGCTCGCACGCAATATTGTATGCTCGACTGATGAACAACTCTAAGCATGGTTGCATTTTGATAAATTTGTGAATTTTCAAACATGTAGGCGATAATTATGTAATCACATAATAATTTAACAAAAATTTTAATATGCATATCATCACATAATAATGTGCATTTTTTCATATTATTATAATGCAAATACTGATCAACTATACACATGACATGTGCAAATATATTAAGATTGGATAATTGCAAATAGGTCCTCCATGTTTGTCTAATTCTAAAAAATATAACCTAATCTAATTTACAAAATCTGCAAACAGATTTCCACCACCATCCATGTACCGACCGTCTCTTCCGGCCTCCGCCGGCGCTGGCGTCGTCTTCAGATCCCAGCATTGACGCACGGCCAACTTCTCCGCCTATTCTCCTATCCCAACGAGTTAATGTCCATGTCAGCTATCATTAGCAACAACTCCGGCCTGATCTCACACATCTCAGAGCTCGGCGCCGCCGAGTACAAGGACGTGTTCCGCCGTACCACACATATTCACTCTCCAGCACCGCGTACGGCGAGGTTGTTTTCCAAAACTATTGCCCGGAGGATGACTATCTCGCGCTAGGTGTGGACGTCGGCGTCTGCGTTGGGCAGTCGCGATGTTCGGCTGATGGCAGCGATGAGCTGAGACCTCGGCATGGCTTGTCGAGACATATGCAGACGGTGCTCCTAATGGTAGGGCGGCTGTCCGACGGAGATCGATGGTTGGGTCGGGTGGTCAGGCGATGGTCTGGGGCGTCGAGGGACTATTTGGCGGCGCATTGGTGGTCCGACGATGGTCTGGGAAGTGTGTGTGCGTGTGTGTGTGTGTATGTGTGTGTGTGCTGTGCGTGTTTTGTGTTTATGGGAAAAAGCGTAATGGATAGGGTAGGTGGGACGGGTGGGTAGGTGAATGTTAGGATTAATGTTGGGTGGTGGTGGGCCCAACATGCTAGTGGATTGGTAACAAATGTCCAATTTACCCTTAATTTGTGGTCAAATGTCTATAATTGACCACGAATTGTACATTTATTTACAAAACTGCCACCATATGTTTGACTGTATATTTAATATTTGACTAGATCATAACCATTGATATGTTGGATCCAATGTTCCAGAATCATTTTTTCTTTCACTATCCAATATTCTCATATGATCCTTTATATATATATATATATATCACCCCGAAGGGTGAGGAATTAAGGTCGGTGTTGTGACCATTTTTGTTACATTTTTCGTTACTGTTTTATCGTTCTTTTTCCCCCGTTTTAGGTGTTTTTGTTAGTTTTTAGTTCGTTTTGTAGTTTGTTGTGTGTTTTGCTCTATTTTGGCTTTTTATGTGTTTTTCGTATATTTTGTCGGTTTTCTACGTTTTTCTTCTTATCTTTGGTGTGCAGGTTGGAAGCCCCGTGAGGAATGAATTAAGCCTGAAAATCGACCGAGCAATCATGGTTGCGTAGAGGAATTCCTTGGCTACACATAGGAAAAAACGGAATCCAATTTCGAGTTCAGACGAATCCGAACGGGGCCGAAACGTAAAGTCCAGCAAACTACCGACCCTTTGAAGGTTGGAAGACCCTAGAGGATTATATTCTGGGAAAAAGTTGAATTTTAAAGCATCATTGAATAGAGGGGTTCGTTAGCGACGTGTAGGAAAAAACGGAACTCAATTCCGAGTTCGGACGAGCCCAAACGAGCCCGAAACGCAAAGTCGCGCAGCCCAGTTTCCTCCTTAGCGGCGCTAACCAATAATAGCGGGGCCAGAGAGTTTGTACTGAAATGGTTAGCGGCCTCTAACGGGGGTTAGCGGCCGCTAACCCTGTCTGGCAGACTTTTCTCCATATTTTCTTTCACTTTTCTCCATGTTTTCTTCCACTTTTCTCCATGATCTCCTCCTCCATGTTTGCTCCATGTTTTGAGCCACTATCCACTTCCTTGTCTTATGATTATAGTGCCTTAAATGGTGGAGTGTCTTGTGATTATAGTGCCTTAAAATTAGGATGAATGATTGATGATGATTAGTATAAAAAGGAGGTGAAGTGCAAGACTTCAAACCATCCCTTCTTGAAGGGGGTTTTCCCCTCTTCTCCTTCTCCTTCTCTTTCTCTTGTTCTTCTTGCTTATTTTCTTGTTTGTATTTTGGAGATTAAGCATTCCTCAAGAACTCAATTTAGCTTGTAAGTTGATTTCGATTCTCGACTTGGATTAATAGTAAGTTTTCTTCATTTGATTATGAACATGAAAGCTTGTGTTCAACCTTTTGTTGTGGTTGATTTCATCATGAGTAGCTAATCCTTTAGCTAGGGTTAGGGGATAATCATTCCGGTTTGTTCTCATTTACGAGCATGATGATAGCTCAATCTTGACGAGTTGTTTTAATTATGAATTGATAAAATCATACTCGATAAATTGTTATAACCTAAGAGTGACACTTAGGTTAATTTGTTGATATAATCAAAGAGTGACACTTTGATTTGTGATTGAATATTGATTTGTTGAGTTAGAGTTTATTAATTCTACGAATTGCGACTTTTAGAACCGAAAGGGGAGGAGTCGTAGAGATAATCGATTTCAAAACCGAGAGGGGAGAAATTGGTAGAATTTGGCTCGTTTAGAGTAGACATGTTCGGAGACGTATTGTCTATGTGTTAATTGTTTCGTTAATTTGCTCTTTTATGTTTATCCTCATATTACGAGAGTTAGTGAGGTTAAACCACTAAATGAGTTAGTTAATCGAACCATTTAAACGAGTTATTGATTGCCGTTAAATGTGTGTAGAACCAGAAGTGATTATTCCCGATACCCTAGCTCGTTTATATTCTTATGTAGATTATCGTCTTTTGTTATTTGATAATTTTCCAACCTTATCGTGATTAGAATGTGTAGGATTTATTCTGCTTTTATGTGTTATCGATATCAATACTAAATTTCGAACCGCCTTCCTCGAGAGATCGACCCGGAAAATGAATCATTAGATTCGGTGCTCGGTAAAATAAAAATAATTTGCTACTACAGTCGGATCCCAACCTGTATATAGTTAAAACCGTAATTGGGCCGAAAAAATCACAAGTCTATACATGTCTGAACAACAAACGAAAACAAACATGAAAAAGGTAAAAACACAACCAAAATGAAGATCTCTCACAAACTGGGTTGAAGCACACTAAAAAATCCAAAAAGGCTATCGAAATCTGAATGAGGGGTAGTCATCTTGATCCATCCGCATAAGGGTGCGGAGGCGGAGTGGGGCGTCGTCCGGGTCAAAAGTGCGCCTCTGGAGAGTGGAGGCACCAAAGCTCGCTAGGTTGTCGGCGGGTCGGTTCCCCTCGCAGAATATGCGAGAGATTCGGTTTGCAACCGATTAAAGTGTGAATCTGATGCGCATGAGCGGATGTTGAATTTGCTACGAGCTCCTCCTAATGAAAATAGAACTGTAATTAGTACCGTTTCCTCCAAAATCGAATGACACCTGCAAAATATTACGATGATTAATAATTTTACAAGATAATGAATTCTTATTTATGATATAACAATTTATAAGTTCTAACATAATAATAATAAACTCTAATTTATAACATAATAATTTGTAAGTTCTAACATAGTAATAATAAATTCTATAAAATAATCAATTCTAATTTATAACATAATAATTTCTACGTTCTAACATAGTAATAATAAATTCTAATTTATAACATAAAATTTTTCTAAAATAATTTCTTTAATAAATAAAAATTAACTAAAAAAAATCGGCCGCCCGACGAAATCGGGCGGACCCCGGATGGCCGACCGACTATTGCTGCCGCCAATGGTCATGGCCAGCCTAAATCGTACCTTGTCTTCAGAAATATTTTCGCCAGAAATCGTATGATTTAAGAGAATTTACGGTTTTTTGAGTTTTTTGAAAAAATTTTAGGGACAAAACGGCTTAAAAAAGACGATACGTATTAATAGGAGGGCGAATAATACCAAATTTTCAACACACTTGGTCAGTTGATTGGGATATCAAAATTGAAAACTGGTAAAATTTGTTATCAAACAAGAATTTGCCCTAAAGCTAAATGTAATAAAAATATAAAATGCTGCCACCTCCACCAAAGCCAAATTCGGTATTTTTGCATAGCATAATTCAACACCAACAACGAAAACCCCTCAAACCCTAGCCACAAACTTTTCACCTTCGACAAAGGAAAGCTCACACACGAATCGTAATCAAAGGCAGCTGTATCTACAAATTTTGCTGGCAAAAAATGGTGCCAGTCAAATTTCTGGCAAAATCACGGCCGTTGATCAGGTCGACGAACATCAGATTCATCTCCACATTCTTTCACCTCCGGCAGGAATCACAGCTGCCGGAGCCTCCCCCGCCGCGTCTGCCTCCGCCGTCATTTACTGCTCCTGGCAGCTGGGGAAGCAATTTCTCATCCACTTCTCCGGGCGTCTCTGCGGCTCAGATTCCGATCAGCCTCGGATTTCTACGAATGAACTCGCGGGCGGAGGTGCAAATGATGTCGCAGACGTTCAACACTAAGGATTTAATGGATCAGTTCGCGAAATGGATGACGTCACTTAGGTGGGCGGATGTGAAGGAGCTATTTGAGCTCTGGGTTAAGGCTTTGGATAGCAGTGGGAAGCCAAACAAACCTGATGTTAACATTTACAATCAGTATCTGCAGGCGAATTTGTTGTTGGGGGCATCTGTGAGTGAAATGCTCAATCTCGTGGCCCAAATGGACGATTATGGGTTATTGCCTAATACGGCTTCGTTCAACCTTGTTCTCAAGGCTATGCTGCAGGCTGGGACATCTCAGGCTGCTGAGACGCTGATCCAAAGGTGGTGTTTTTGTGTGTGTGTGTGTGTGTGGTTTTTTTTTTTAGACTGAAGTATTGCGTGAATTGTCTCCACTGCGTGGATTNCCTCATTTTAAGTTAAGTTACAGGGCTTGTTTTAGAAAAGCAGAGCCAAAATATTACCTCCTGGTTATTGTTAACGAATTTGAATTTCTGGAAATATTTCCTATTTTTGTTGCATAAAGCTACTCAACTTTTAGAATGGCAAATAATACTACAGTAGTTGTACTCATATTGCTGAAACTTTAAGAGCAGATTTAACTTGCAGTGTCTGGTAATGGTATTTTAGCATGACATGTCATCTATAGGGTTAGTGTTGTTGACATGTAATAATTGTTCTGTTAGTTCTTACCTGAATCAACAGTAAACTAGTATTGTGGCATTAATATTATTTCATCACATAATTAGTTTTGTGGGAGACATTTTTTTCTGCTCAAACATGAGTAAATTTCTCACAGTACTTATTTTGATGGGCAAGTATTACTTCATTGACGTCAGGATGCTTCAGATAGGAAAAGAATATGAGAAATCTCTACCTGATGGCGAGTCTTATGACTTGATAATTGCCTTGCTACTCTCCACAAACCAGATTAATGCTGTCCTCAAGTACATAGATTTGACGTTGGCATCGGGATACGAACTTTCGGCAAAATCATTCATTGGATGTATCCAGAGGTGTGTTAACAACGGGAGGCTGGATACACTGGTAACAATTATAGAGAGATGCAAGGTAAAAATGTGTTCGCCCTTTGATATTTCTCTTCCGTAGTACAACCTTCTCATTTTTTTTTTCCCTATGAAGGACTTGAGTTTTATGTATTATATCAGAAAATGGATCAGAACAAATCTTTATGTCCTCCTTGGTACATATGCAATTACATTGCTGATGTTGCCATGCGGGCAGATAACAATGATTTGGCTTATTATGCGCTCATGTTCTTTGCAAACTGGATCACGCGAGGGGAAAACGCAGACCCTGCAGTTTTATTGTCTGTAAATGAAGGGTTAGTTGTATCTGCACTTGGGACTGCTGGTAGGACGTTCAATTCTACCCTTTTGGAGGGTTCGTGGGCCATACTGAAGAGATCATTGAGGCAAAAGACGGTTCCTAGCCCTGCATCTTACCTTGCAAAAATACATGCTTATGCGAATATGGGGAACTTGAAGCAGGCTTTTAGCACCCTTCAAGAACTCGAGGAGGTTCATGGAAATTGTAGTCAGGAAGATGAGGAAGGTCTTTTCTCTCCTTTTTATTCTTTGAGCCCTCTGGTGGTTGCCTGCGCAAGGGATGGTTTCAGAACTTTAGATATGGTGAGTTCTTATGGCTTGTAGGAATAAGTAAGCATCCACAAGTTTGCAGAAAAGTCCTGATGGTGGAACTACAACTGGAAAACCTCACACTTGATCATTAATGTCGCCATAGTTGCATTTTCAATAACTAGGGTCGTATTTGATTGTGGTATCTTATGTAATTCCTCTCAAAATTTCTCATCAATATTAGTTTCGTTTTTGTTGGATCTGCAGATCTGAGATTGGTTAAAAAACTAAGTCATTCGAAATCCATACACCTTATATATACAAAATACCACCGTTCTCTCACACACACACACACACTTGAAAACACACTCATCAAACATTTCACACACATAACATTGCAAATCCCTTGATCCAAATGGCGCCTGAATTACTAGCTCCTACATGGCATGTATGACATAACTTTTCCATACTGTATATGTGTGTTTTCTACCATTGTTTGCTCTCGTCATTTGCTGAATTTTACAAGTGTTTGGTCAGGTTTACCACCAGCTGGAGATTTTAACTCGAAATGATCCTCCATACAAATCCATTGCCGCTCTAAATTGTGTAATTCTAGGCTGTGCAAACATTTGGGATCTTGATCGTGCTTACCAGACATTTAATGCCATTACGGCCATTTTCGGTTTGACCCCGAACTTGCACTCTTACAATGCCCTGTTATTTGCCTTTGGGAAGCTTAGCAAGGTAACTCACGTGCATCCCTCGAGTATTTAACTTATCGGTACCATCAAAATACTCCACATAAACATTGTTTCCACTGCGCCTCTAAGTTTTTCTCTTACAAGTAATCCATTTTTTTTTTTTTTAATTCTCTTTTTGGTGTGTGAGTTTCTTCTTTTGTCAAAACTGTCACAATTGCAACTTCTATTTAATTATTATTGTTATTATTATTATTTTTTTTCCCCCACAGAGAGATGAAGCTGTAAAAGTATTTGAGCACTTTGTTGGGTTAGGCGTGAAACCAAATATGACTACGTATTCTCTACTCATTGATGCTCATCTTTCAGTTCGGGACCCCAAGTCTGCTCTGGCCGTGATTGACGACATGGTAATTCATGGACCTGTGAATTTAGCACTAGAATGGATATTTACAGGATAATTTTATTTCGGCAAAATTGCAATTTTAGTCCTGTTGGTTTGATCGAGTGGCATTTTTAGTCCTAAGAATTGAACATTTTTGATATTTGGTCCTATGATTTTAAAATTCAACGCAATTTCAGTACTTTGTAGGACTTAAATTGCTAATAAAAAATCTTTTGGCAATTTATTAGCAATTTAAGTCCTGCAATTTTCAATTTTGTTGCAATTTCAGTCCCAAATGGCTGGAATTGCAGCAAAATACTAAATTACAGTATCAAAAGTCAAAAAGTTGAAATCTTGGGACTAAAAATGGTACGGCGTTAAACCAGCAGGACTAAAATGCAAATTTGCCTTTTATTTTGTAATTATCATGTGTTTATTCATAATCATTTCCCTTTTATTACTGACGTATGGAAGTGGCACTAAACTGGAAATTGAACCCTGCAAGCAGATACATGCTGGGCATGAACCCTCGAAAGAAATGCTTAAAAAGATTCGAAGGCGGTGTGTCCGTGAGATGGATTATGCATCTGACGATAAAGTCGAGACTTTGGCAAAACAATTCAAAATCCGGATGGGTACAGAGGTTCGCCGTGACCTGCTGTTTAGTTTTCAGTACAGCACGGATTATTCATGAGGCAGTAGTTCTTTTTTTTTCTTCTTATTTGGATAATTTTATCAGTAGAAATGAATTCCTCCCCTCCATTTGCTTTGGATTAGCTGTTATTGATTAATGTTGTTTGTAGAGTTTTTAACAGTAAAATCCCGTTGAGAAGTTGTTTCAAATATGGGTTCGTCACTTAAGATTATAGAGGTATTTTTCTGTGTTTTGCAAATTCCTAGTTGCAAGTATACGTGGCCAGGGGCCTAGTCCGAAGTTGAACCCCTGTAATGGACAGGCTTGTTTTGGGCCCTGATAAATTAGTTACCGATATGTCAGTTTTGGGCCAGGCCGGACTCGGAACAGGATGGCCCACTATCTGTCAAATTTTAAAAGGTGGGCTGCAAACAGTGCCAAAGTACATAACTATGTTACGAATAAAAAATATTCTATTAAAATTAGAGATTACAATAAATTTCAAAACTGTCAATTTTCAAACCAAACTAGTGTAAAATCACCAAATTAAAAAGAACTTGATATAAATTTCAAAAATTAAACCACCAAACTGAACCTTCCATTGAAGCTTCAATCCCATGACAGTTTATCTTTCATCTGAGGATCCAACCCATTTATGCGTAGAATGGCTTTGGCCTCTTCATCTGAAAAGCATTCCTTCCCAAGAATGTCTAGAATCAAGGGTGATCCCATATTTTAACCGATTTGCCATCCTTTATGGTGCACCTCAGTCCATTATGAAAGGAGTCCCTTTGCTTCACCCACTTGGCCCATAACCAAGAATTGTTATTCTTCTTCTGAGTTGTAAAGAAGTCCTCTCTTGAGAAATATCTGGCTTTAAGTGTCCTCCTAACCAGAAGATTAGGTTTGGTAAGGAGCCTCATACATTTTATTTTATAACTTCAATTGTAACAAATAAAAAAGGTTAACCTAAATTTGTAATTTTATAAAGTTTGTGATTTTCTCTGTAATTAACATGTTGGCAAATTTTGCCACGTAAGATGGCACATCATCACCCCAAGCCCGTTTTGGCGCCGCGATTCATTTTGCTACAAAATGCTAAAATTGTACTCTCTCCAATTCATATTAATTGTCGTTTTGGTTTTTTGCATAGTAATTAAGAGTTAATTTTTTTTTCAATAATGACCTCCATTAATCAAAATTAATAACGTGGACCATTAGTGAAAAGTGGAGGAAAAAATAAGATAAAAAAGCTTGCAAAACCAGACCAAACACAAGGAAAAGAGGAAAAAAAAAAGGTAACTTCATTTTGTCTGCAACTCATCGTCTTCTATGTATTTCTTCCTCAAAGTGTCTAAAACTCTATTTGTTCAACACATTACAAATTTCGACAAGAAAGTAAAATAAAAATTCACATTCAGCATTTCAAAATTTTCAACAAGGAGCCAAAATTCACGAGCAGGTCTATAAATATGGATGTAGATAATTTAATTGAACCACACATTATGATTAAAGATTTGCAATGGCTTTAAATATTCCGATCGATTTGAACGAACCTCCTTACGACGTAGAAGATGCAACACCGAGACCTTTAGAGAACATTATAATCGAGCTAAATGTCGACGACAGCCCGAAAATTAGATACCCTGTTATCGAGTTTGACTTAGATCAGTTTTTCAAAGATGATGACGAAGTAAGGTCCGATTCATCTGTGGAAGAGATAATTGGCCAATAAGCCAATGACGGAGAAGGAAATATAGACATAGGAGGAGTACTTCAAGGGCACATAATAACGGGTGGACAAGAGATTTTCAATGAATTTGACGGTAGAAATGGTGAAGCAGGGGAAACAAGCCAAGGTGAGTTTTATTGATATCAACTTTTTCTGATTGCTCGATGTTTTTATTTTCTCCAAATTACCTTAACATGATTGCTCACTGTGTGGTGCATTCTCAAGCAAAATATTGGGATTTTTTTTGCTGTTAGTTATGTGCTTCATGCTAGTTTAGAGTGTAATGTATATGTGGATGTATGTTTGCAGGGAATTTGATAAAAAAGGAAAAAACAAAAATGATAATGGTTTGATAGCAGTATGTTATGTGGGGATTGATATATGAAAGTTTATAGTGGCCTTGCTGTGACCTCTTTTCTGTACTAGAGAGTTAGTTGTAGTTTTGTTTTCTTCTTCAAATATAGAAATTTTGTTTAGTATATTCTAGGTTTCTGTTGGTAAGATATTGTAAGTTTCAATTCTGTTTCCCTTGTTGCAGTATTCGTGTAAACTCTAGCCGCTAGCAATCAAAACTATCTTTGACGTCAAGTAATTAAATTTACAATTCTCTATTTTACCTCACTTCCAAACTTGAAACAACATCCAGTTTCATAGTTCCATTGCTTGGTTCTCTATGTTAAATTTGGTTACCATTTCTTTAATAGGCAATGTTCAAGGGGGAAAGAATAGGATCCTAACTGACGTTGAAAGGTGGACAATTTACCATGCTTTGTTGGAGAAAAGTGTAAATGGTAAATTGAAAAAGAACACAACAAAAGAAGTGAATGATTTTTTCAATATTGAGCTCCGAAAAGTTCAAAGAATATGGAAAATTCACAAGAGAACTTCACCGGGCTCGGATGTGGATGTTTCGTCGAGGAAGGCACGGAACTGTGGTCGTCAACGAATTGAGGCAGATTTTAGTAGGATTCAATAGATAGAGTGACATCAACGAACAACACTTGCATTTCTTTCTAATGCTTTCGGAGTTACTTACTCCAAATTGTATAGACTTTTTAAGCGAGGCGTTCTACGTCGTCACTCAAGTGCTATCAAGCCACATTTGAAAGACGAAAATAAATCGCAGCTAGAATTTTGTTTATCAATGCTTGATGAAAGCGCAATGTTGAACGAGCCAAAGTTCAAGGGAATGTATAACTATGTGCATATCCACGAAAAATGGTTTTACTTGACAAAGAAGGAGCAAACGTATTACCTACTCGACAATGAAGAAGATCCTCATCGTTCATGCCAAAGTAAAAATAACATTGCAAAAGTTGTGTTTCTAGCAGCCACTGCTCATCCTAGATTTGATGGTGAAGGAAGGGTGGTGTTTTTGGGCAAATTTGGATGTTAGGCGTTTGTCACAGAGTAACCAGCCCAGAGAAATAGTAGGAACAAACAAGCTGGCACAATGGAGATGAAAGCGATCACATATGTTAAAAGAGACAATGTGAAAGCGTTCTTGATTGAAAAGGTTATCCCATCTATTATTGAAAAATGGCCTAGCTCTGATTATGGAGAAACTATTGATGTCCAACAGGACAATGCTAGGACGTTCTTCCTAATGACCCTGATTTTGTAGTAGCAGCTTCACAAAATGGCTCTGACATTCGATTAACTTGCCAGCCCCCTAATTCTCTATATTTGAATATACTTGACCTTGGGTATTTTAGGGCCATACAGTTGCTACAACAAAAAATGTGCACAAGGAATATCCCTGAGCTTGTAAGTGCGGTAGAGAAGGCATTCTATGACTATTCACCGATCAAGCTCAATTTTGTGTGGCTGACATTGCAATTATGTATGAAAGAAATCATGAAATTAGGAGGAGGAAATCGATAAAAAATATCTCACATAAACAAAAACCGACTTCAAGGGCTATTTTCGCCGAACTCCATTATCAATTTTTGTGTCTTTTTATTTCCCGTCTTTTATTTATTTGTGTTGGCTTATTTTCATTTGGAGTAGTGCTTGCCATATTTGTTGGAGGGGTATTTTTGTCCGCTGCGTTTGGTGTTCTACCCCAACATCTCCAGCATCAAGTCCTGCATTGTGTTAGTTTATCTTGTTATGATTAATTTCTGTTTGTTCCAAATTTTCTCACAAACGATCGTATGAAAAGATTTTGTAGTTGTTATATATAGAACATACAAGAAAAAGAATCAGTAGAATCAGTACTTCAACCAAAAGAAAAAGAAAAAACTCATTAGCCCTCACATTGCCACTCATTATTTATTAACAAAAAAAAAAAAAAATCGGCCTTCAGTAGAATCTGTACTCTAACAAGTACCCATTATTTCCTCTGTTGTATTTTTTTTCGGTTTTTATCGGTATAAACCGAAACTGAACTGTTTTATCGGTAACCGAAAAATTGGTTACCGAATTCTTATCGGTTTCGGTTTGAATCTTAAAACACGTTTGGTGCCCTAATAATAACCATGAATGCAGAAAGTGTCAGAATCAAGTTCCAAATAAAGAGTGTGATGCACTTGTCAGTACATAAATGTTTAACAGTATAAATGTTTTAGCAAGAAAAAGTCTAGGGCAAGACTAAATTATTTAACAATATGATTGGCAATATTGTTAGAGCAATTATGGGATTTTTCTCAAATTAAATACTGATGGTTATGGTTCTGAATTGGCACAGATGACAAAAATCACTTTTGAGCATAGTATACGGCAGAGACATCAAATATGGTTGTGAATTAGCACAGATGACAAAAATCACTTTTGAGCACTGTATACGGCAGAGACATCAAAGACAAATGCATGACCTAACTGTATTAAAATTTTTCACCTTTGCTCACAAATTTTCTTACGATCTATAACCAATATGTAACATTAAAACTTCTCAACATAAAGACTTCCATAGTACATCATCATCCAAATTGCAATTGCAATACACCATCAAACCTCCAGAGCAAAAGAACTTTAATACAATATGGAGTCTCATAACAACACAATTTTTAAATTGAGAGATAAAAAGTCACTCCCTCAGAATTTTTAGAAAAAAAAGGTGACACAACAAGTGCCAGTTAAAAACCAAAGTACCTAGACCAAAAACAACAAGATGATAACAACAACAATAACAATAGATTACTCGGGCAAAAAAAAACATAGACGAACAAGACTATCCGCTCAAAGCAAATATGCCACGTTGGTCGAGAGTTTTTCGGTAAATAGATTTGGCACAAAAACCTTCAACATCTTATTAACAACTTCATCATTGGGATACAAAATTGCTTGACCAACAACAAGCTTCTCTTCAACTAATGTTGCACTTTTACCTTTTGAAAAACTAGTTCTAGTTGTAAGGCGATTGAGGCGAGAACATTGATGCACATCATCTTCAATGTTCGAATCAGACACATACACCTTTGATGACTTTGTCGAATCACTAATTTGCAAAGCGATTGAATGGGCAATATCTAAACTTGCCTTTGTCTTCTCCAATAGTTGAAGAACTTCATCCACAAGAAGTTTGTGAAATTGAATAGATGTACCAAAGTGGATTTCTGGATCCGATATTGAAACATCATAACCTTTCGAATCCATGAATCGAAGAGAAAAAAAAGGAGGAAAACAATAGAACCAGAATCAAAGGATTAGAAAAAATTTGGATTAAAAAAGACACACAGATTGTGGAAGATGGATTGAAAAAATATAGAGACGCTGTCAATATACCAACTGACTTCTGCCATTGGAATAGAGAGATATTACGGGAAAAGATGAAGTTGGATATGAAGAGACGCTTTATCGAGTGGAAGGGGTAAAAATGTAAAAATATCAATAAAGATTCAGAACGAATTGGAGGGAGTATACATTGTTGCAATCTCAATAAAGTTTGTTTTGTTTAAAAAACCGGTGATGCTTTCTCAAGCAAGCTTTTTTTTTTTTCAATCATCCCCTAAAATCCCCATTAACCTTTCGGCCAAATTCACAGACGAAAGTAAGCGTTTTAGAAAAACAAAATACATGAGAAAAAAGGAAAGTGAAAACCCAGAAACTGAAAAATCGATTTAAGTAAACAACAGATGGGACAAATGACAAACAAGAAAGGTAAAAAGGAAGTAAAAGAAGAAATAAAAAAGGAAGGAGAAAATGAAGAAGAAGAAGTAGAAGAAGAAGAAGAAGAAGAAGAGGAGGAGGAGGAAGAGCAGGAGCAAGATGGAGTTTCAGTGCATTCTCCTTGCAAAATAAACTCTTCCTCGCTTCGCAATGTACATTTTTTTTTATTTATTTGTTTATGTAATATCACAAGATTTAATTTTTAAGCTTTTGGTTATTGATTGTGAGTGATTGAGGTTGAATTTCAGGAGAAATCAGAGGTTGAATTGGAATTGAGACTGCTTGAAGCTCTGCGAATATACCCCCCTCCAAATTTCGAGGTTTACTTTTTTTATTTATTTTTTACTGTAAATTGTTCATCATGATTCATTTTGCTTGTTCCCTTGATGTGATTTTTGTTAATTTGCACCTACAACTTGCATAATTCCTTTATCTCAGTTGATAGATTCGAAATTTGCTGGGAAGTTTGATTTGAACAGGTTCAACCCAATGTCATCAGAATAAATATTTTTCCAAGAAGAAAATGAGTGCAAACCTTTTCAATCCTTTATATTTGTGAAATTATTTAATGGAATTTGCGGCTAAAGCTTATTGATATACGGAATAAATATTTTTCATAGTCCTCAGAATTAGAACTGGGCTTTGCTGGTGCTTCTTGTTTAACAGTTTAGTGATGGATTGATGTATTTGTTGTTGATCACAGGCGTACACCGTCACTTTCTGCTTTATGGTCTGACTGAATACATGCGCAAAAGGTTCCCTTCCCTTCGCCTTTTTGCTTCTGTTTTCGGTAATTTTGTCTTGAGATGATTGTTTTTGCTTGTTAAATTATCCTTTTTCTTGTCTCCATGCAGTTTCAACCGTCCGTTTACTTCAGAGGATGTTATTAAGTTGCTGGAGCGATTTTTCAACCTTGAAATGGTGGTATGACTTGTCAACTTCGGTCTAAGTTGTAATTTATAGAATATTTATCTGCTAAGCTTGACAAATTAAAGTGAGCTAATTAGAATTGGCTGGACAGCATGCTGATGATTCTCATGCAGTCTTTCGGTTTTTATTTTTTATTTTTTTTTCCTTTCGTTCTTGGTCACTATATATATATATATGTGTGTGTGTGTGTGTGTGTGTGTGTCTGTGTGTATCGGGTGTTCAGGCTGGTTTGGCCGAGCTATCACCTGTTGATGGATAAGTCGAAATGGGTTGTTATATGCAGGAGCAAAGTAGATTATATAATAAAAGATTTATCTCGGGCTTCTTCATTTAGTGGTCCAATCCAGTGCACGTTTGTTCTTTCCCAGTCATCATCCTTTATAGCTATCCTAGGGTCAACCATTATTTGGTTTGCTCAATTAGGGAAATATGTTGGCTCTGCCAAAAAAGAATTCTTTGATGATAAATTGACAATTTCAAGATTTTGCCTCATCACTGGTTCGTTTATTTACTGTGGACACTTAAAAAAGAAAATAATTTTTTTTCTCTCTCTCAGAAGCCAGATGATGAAGATGCAGAGTTTCTGACTCACGAGGAAGACTTTCGCCTGCCACAGAGTTTTTTGCCTGAGGAAGAAAGCTGAAATATCAATCATCTCAAAGAGTGAAAATTTCTCGTGCAGTGGAGTTGCTTGGATGTATTGATTATGCTGTATTTGATCCTTACATGATTGTGGCTGCACAGCCTTCTTACTTTGATATTAGTGTTTGAAAAGCAACTGTCTTTGAGATTTTAGCTCGGCATATATCACAATGCTTGATGTATTTGGCTCCATGCCCGGTAGATATTTTGTAATCTCTGCTTTCTAATATTTGTTCCCTAGTTTTTATTTATTTTACTGGAGTTTGAATCTGATGTTGGTTTTCTATTTCATTTGAGTAATTTACTGGAGTCAAAACAAGAACACGTGTTACAATAGACCAAACTGAAGCTCAAGATTCTCAACAATGTGTTTAATGGTCTTCGATTGTCAGTAACTATTATTGAAAAGAACATCAACTATAGTAGATGTTTGCATCTACAGAGCATTGCATTCATGTTCATTTCTTGAACTTGCCTTCTTCATTTGGCCACACATTTTGCATGACATTGTGAAATTTTGATCCTTTGCTCCTTGACTAATTATATTTTTTACTGAAGAAGTTCAAACCTACGGGGATTTCGTTATCTTTCTGAGCTCAGTTGCTACAAAATAAAATCGTTAACATCAACTCAAGTGAAGCAAAATACAATTATAATTGTCAGAATAACATTAATTTTTGTGTTTTAAAAAACAAAGAATCGCTTCAGAAGCAAAAAGTTTGGAGTTGGTGGGGGAAGACGGGTGGAGNAAAAAAAAAAAAAAAAATCTGGACACAAGAAATTCAACGCATGTCTAACTTGAAAACATTCTTCTTATCATTCTATGATAAAAATTGATCGAACAACCATGAACATTCTTCATTTGCCAAAGCTGGAATTATGAGATATTTCGTGATGACACTTCCTCATCACTTTCTTTGCTTGATTAACGCTTGCAGCAAAAAATTAGTTCTGCAGAAACAAACACAATTCTAAGTATCCTAATAATAAGGTATCCATAAGCTAGGGAAAAAAAAGAAAGGAAAAAACTCCAATTATGCAAGTAAATTGTACCATTGCACTATTGAAAATACATCATTAGGTTTATATTTACCGGACAAACACCCCTTCTTGAGAAAGCAAATTGTCAAAGAGAATGAAATTGATAGTTTTTTTCCCAGTAATCAGGGTAATTCTTGTACTTAAACTCAAGCTTTCAAATACGTTAACCAAATATAGCTTTTACCTCAGGTTGTGCTGGCTTTGATTCCTCGGCTTTGATGCCCTCCTCACCTGTTTCATAGCAAAATGCATTATTTAGCTTTGAGTAAGCTGAAACTAGAAAAATTTTAGCTTTTATGGGGAAAAAACAGATGAAGGTTGGTAGAGATTATTAAGTTTGACAGTCTAGATTTCAGAATCACATAGCAACAGAATCTGTCAGACATCCCGAGCATCTATATTTGTTTTTCCAATATATATATATATATATATTTCAAGAAAAGTCTTGCTTGCCATTTTAGATCAAAATGAGAATGTCATTTCTGTGTCCAAATGCAGGCAAACAAAGAAGAACTATACATACCATCTTCAGGCAAATCGGAGGTCCAGAGAGTGAGATTATCTCTCAACAATTGCATAATCAAAGTGCTGTCTTTGTAAGACACTTCACTCAAAGTATCCAACTCAGAGATGGCCTCATCAAATGCTCGTTTAGCTAAATGGCAAGCTCTGCTCCATTTAAAATAAGAAAATATCACATAATTGTTGACAAATGGAGCTGAAAGAGTCATTGTTGACAATTCTCCTGGCATAGTGCTAATAATGGACTAGATCAAAATGGCTCAATTCAATTCTAGTGCTTCTTCTATTAGTGAAGTTTCTAGAAAAAAAAAATATATCAAACGGCGCAATGCACCGTGGGTCGCTACGGAAACAGCCTCCTCGTATAATTACAAGGGTAAGGTCTGCGTACAACTGACCCTCCAGACCCCAACCTGTTGGGAATATACTGGGTATGTTGTTGTTGTTGTATCACATAATTGTTTTTCTGTTTAAATCAATAAAAGGCTAAAACTACCTACCTGGTTAAAAATGTCTGCATAAAAGAAAGAAGGAAAGTAAAGAAAAGTAGAAAAGTAAAAATTGCCCAAATACCGTATTGAAGTTTATATTCAGTTAACGAATAGGGTGCAATCGGAAAGTAGATTATAGAGAGAGATTATAATTTTACAAGTTAGCTGATATTTTTCTTCTTGAACTTAGATAAGAAAATAAAAACCTCAAGGGTATTTTTTTAAACTTATTTTTTCTGTCATTCACCCTTGATTCTGAGAAATCTTGAAACAATGAATCATGAAGAAGGGATAAATACAATAATTGCCCCTGATGGTTGGTCTAATTACAAGAAAGGTTTTACATTAAAATTTAAATACAAATACCCCTTGAAGTTTGTAGTTACCTCACAAATATCCCCTCTATAGGATTCAATATTTTAAGGAAAAAACATATGTTGGGAGGTAATGTAATCTTAAAATAGAATAATTCATTTATTTAAATGTAATTAGACTGCCTACAAACAACATAAGTACAAATTAAGTTACCTTTCAGGAGAATTCATGATCTCATAGTAGAACACCGAGAAGTTCAAAGCAAGGCCAAGACGGATAGGATGGGTAGAGGGAAGGTCTGTATTTGCAGTAGCTGAAGCAGCCTACAAACATGGACCGCGTAAAAATGTGAGCAAACTAGGACCATCTTTATTAATATCTGTTGCTAATATAATTGTTCTCTTATGTTAATTTAACATGCCTCATAGCCCTTGAGGGACTCTTCAGCTGCCTCTTTCTTTTCCTGATCAGTCTTGAACTCAGCCAGGTAGCGATAGTAATCACCTTTCCTGAAAAAGAAAAGGTCATCGGCTGACGTTACGTGAAGGAAGCTTGCAAAACAGAAGTTTATGCAACTAAATTTGCATGTCTTCCAGATCTATTTTTCAGTCGAACATAGTTTTTTTAACATAAAATGATTGGACTTTTAATAACTCATGATATCTATTTGTGCTTTCGAGAAACGAGTTTTATTTTCTGCTTATATCTAATAGAGTAACAGTTAATTGGGACATGTAAGAATTTTTCCTATCCTTGAATTGTTTTGAGCATTAAGTAATGAGTACTTCATGGAATTACTGATACTTCAACATGAAATTAATGATACTTACAGTGTAATTTATTGTTGTGTCTACATATAACACAACACTATATGGGTTATAATCACCCAAACACATTCGTATTATTCTTTATTGTGTGTGTGTTGAAATGAATTTTAATTTGGAAAAAAATACAACGATAAATAAAGTTGAAAAAATTGATATAACATGTCATACAAGACATCACATTAAACTGGATGACACAAGCTGCAAAAGAAAATGTGATTTTTTTTTTTTTTTGAAGAACTCCTTTGTGCGAACAAGCACTGAACCATTAATTTTCTTATCGTTTTCATGTCATGGCAATAATCTCACCACCATTCTAACTACATTACAAAGGATCTAACCCTCATTCGTGATAAATGCATTTATTTTCCCTTTTTAGTTGTAATTGTGAATAATTAGTTACTTATTACACGACGAGAAGTACTGCCTCAAAGTTGACACTACTCAAACATACAACGATCCTACTGAGCGGAGTGAAAAGGAAATATCAAGCGACACCATCTGTGAATGCAAGAGAACAAACTTCGCGAAATAAATAGACCAAAATTCCAAGTTTCACATAATTAGTTGACTTACATCTTGTAGTAAAAAACAGTAGCCTCCGCCGAACCAGAGGAGGGAATCAGATGCTTGTCGATGACAGAAAGGATGTCATGACAAATCTTTGACAGCTCATCCTCCACCTTCTGTCGGTAGCCCCTTATCAGCCTCACATTGTTCTCATTTCCCTTGGATTCTTCCTTCTGTTCGATTGAGGACATGATACGCCACGAAGCTCGTCGAGCACCAATAACGTTCTTGTACCCCACCGACAGCAGGTTTCTCTCATCCACCGACAGTTCAATGTCTAGTTTTGCGACCTTTTTCATGCTCTCAACCATTTCTGAATAAAAACATAAATGATATGTAAGTCTGAAAGTAAGAATGTTTATTGGCAAATACAATCCATGCATCCTATTTCATGTCAATAAAACCCATTGTTTGAGTTTTCTTATCAAGCTATACATTTTATCCATTGGGTTCAGAACCTTTGAAAATGGTTTAACTGAAATTTCCTGCTCAGACATACATATTGATGCAGGAAGTCAATCTAATGAAAGATATTGACAGACAAATTCTTTAGGTTGGAAAACTCACAATTTTGCTCTATTTTCATAAAGCCAATCAATTTTCTTCCGTATTCTGTTTCCTCAACCAAAATTCAAATTCCGAAATATGATATTAACGATAACAGGCTTTATTTCAACCATAAGAAAGTTTCCACATTCAGAAAATCGGACAAAACAAGATCAACAGAAGTAACAATTTCGACATTAGAGATCTTAGCCTAGCTCATACAAAAAAAAAAAGAACATTCCCCAAACTCAACGGAAACAAATCTAAAACAACGAGATGAGATTCAGTAAAACCGACGCATATATATACAAAGAACACACACACATACACCGATCTATCAGCACACGCACGCGCACACACACAGCGCCACAAAACAGAATCGCCACAAATCCACTTCAAATGCACGCACAACGTCGCGAAATAGCATTTTCTCATGAAATGCGGAAAATTGGATGCAACAAATACATATATGAATACAGAAAAACAACAATGTGCATTATACAGATGAAATTAGCCCGTACCATCATAACGCTCGGCTTGTTCAGCGAGCTTCGCCAAGTATACTTGAGTCTCTCTCTCCTTCTCTGTCGACATTTTGTGATTTCTGGAGATCTAAAAATGATTGAAATTGGGAAAAAAAAAAGGGAGAAAAAAAATACGTGAGCTGTGTCCTGTGTGGAGAGAGTGGATGAAAAGGAGAAAGTGTAAATTATTACGCAGATGAAATGAAGGGTGATGAGAGGCAGTTGTATATTTTTGAAGAAAGCTGGGGACGCAAATTGTAAACTTGCGGAAGGGGGGACCACACATGTGTTGGTGGGATTTTAATATTTTTTTGTTATATTTTTCCAAATCCTAGTTTCCGTACAACTTATCCCTCCTTTTGTTAATATAATTTCAATACGTGGTGAGCCTACATGGCTGGTTCGCACGTTTCGGAAGCTTACTTGGCAACATTACATGCTTCGGTTTTTTGTTTGGATAAAAATTAATACAATTATATTACAAAAATAAATAGGATTCTTATCCCCTCCAACTTCCAAAATAAATAGAATTCTTATCTCTTCCAACTTTACACGGTTAAGAATCCTATACCAATTCAAATGTTAATAATCCTATACCAATTCAAATGTTAATAATCCTATATCAATAATAACAATTTAAAATTATCCAGATTAATTATGTATATATATAATATAAATGAAAAAATCATTATCACCAAATTTTTTATTCCTTTAATTTATTCGGAAGTCACTGGGTTTTGTTCTTCCAAAATAAATAGAATTCTTATCTCTTCCAACTTTACACGGTTAAGACCAATTCAAATGTTAATAATCCTATATCAATAATAACAATTTAAAATTATCCAGATTAATTATGTATATATATAATATAAATGAAAAAATCATTATCACCATTTTTTTTATTCTTTTAATTTATTCGGAAGTCGCTGGGTTTTGTTTAGGACTGGCACCTTATATTTAATTATATATATAGCTGTTGAAGGTAAAGTCAGTTGGGCCGATGGAAGCTGATGGGTCCAGCCCAACTTAATAGAATATTGAGAAATTTAACTCTAATATGGGATGTTGATCAGTTTGGATGTTGAAGTGTATTTGAAGATTACAAGTCAACAAAATTATATCAAATTAATTATTTTTTAATGAGTTAAATTAGTTTCGATTAGACATCTATATTTTATATATAAAATAAATAAATTATATTTATCTTTATAGTAAAATTATTTATTTAAATTCATTAGAAAAATAAAATTATTTTTCAATTAATATATTTATGTTTAATGTAGTTATGTTATAAGTTAGAAAAATTATTATAATATAACGCATGTAAGTTGCACAAGTAACAAGTGACATACTAAAATATATAATAATATATATTTTCTTATAAAAAGTATTTAAATGTTGAACCACTTTTTCTCCTTAATTATAAATTTTACGAAAAAAAATTTAGTAAGCACCCGTGTAATACACGGGTGTCGTACTAGTATTAGTTTAATTGTGTATATGTAGCTATTGGATTCTTGAACGAGTGATTGTATTCATTTGCAACTTTTAAAGATTTGTTGGATTTTGTGTATTTAATTAGATTTTTTAATATTTTAAAAAATTATGAAGTGTTCATTTGAAATTTTAAAATTTTTTAAATAATCACATAGTATTTAACTTATTCAATCATGAGATTTATTAAGACATTCTAAGATTTGTTGAGATTTCATAAATAATAAATTTTATACAAAATCTCACCCTAAAATTCCACCCTCAACATTTTAAATTAAAAAAGAAATTAAAATGTCTATTAAAATTTCAAATGAATACATCCCATTAGTTGATTCATTTTGTATTTATTTTTTTTTCGCTTATGAAAGTGAACNAAACAATCATTCAGATGAGAGACGAGTTGGAAGGGGATAAAATAGGGAGAAAAAGCACTCCAACACCAGGATGAATCCGAAAGAATTGCCCATTTTGCGAGCTACCTCGTTTTGTTCTCCATATATATTGAAAGTTCCATGCACCAAGTTGCCTCCACCAAACCTTCAATGGCACACACATGAAGAAATTCAAGCACACCAATGGAGAAGTGATTCCCACCAACCTTCTTCATTCACACACCATTTGTCAATGGTGGTGTGCTATATCTTGCCTATAAATAGAGTGCTTATTTCATTCATTCAAATCATCCTAGAGTGTGATCAATCAACCTTGAGAGTGTTGAAACACAACCAAGTAGAGTTGTGGAGAGTTTAAGATTTTGATTGGTTATAAAATATTTTGATATTGTTTGAATTTTTTAGTTTAGTTTGATTAATTTTGAAAAAGTGATATGGTTAGTTGTTAGTGAGATTTTGAGTTTATATTAAGATAATATGTAAAAGAAAATAATTAAAGTTCATTTGATGTAAAAATAGGAGAAAAATGATGTGAAGTGATGGTTAAAATCATGTGAATGGATAAATAGTGAATTAAGATTGATATGTAATGTATAAGAATGATTGATATTATCTAATTATATTAATAATATTGAAAATAATGAAATTGAATTAAAGTTGAACTAAATTTGAATTCAAATGAATGATTGGTTAAAAACAATTAAATTTTTTTGAATAAATTTGTATCCAAACATCCCTTAAGAGTTTTGTTTTAAGACTTTGTAAATCTCTTGTTTTTATTGTTGTGAGTAATAGAAACTTATTTTTCTCTCAATTATGTTTATGATCTTGGGATGATACCACAACAAGTGGTATCAGAGCTTGGTTTGAAGCTTTCGAACTTACTTTTGAATTTTTTCGAGCTTCTGTAGAAATTTTGAGTTTTTGAGTTGTGCTCAAAATTCGATTCCAAGAACACCGCTAGATTCGTCTCGTCGAAGCGGTCACGACGGTATCTTACGGGCGAAAAACAGACACCGGAGCTGAGAGATATAGCCTTTTGAAGTTCTCAAAAAAAAAAAAAAAAATCTTGAGGAAGAAGATGATGATGTGTCACCACATCATTTGACACGTCATCGCCACGTCAACAAGGAAGGCCTAGTCACCTGCCACATCAGCAGTCCAGTCATCTTCCATGTTAGCAGTCCAGTCACCTGACACGTCAGCAGAAGGGGTCCATTTACTGCCACGTCAGCAGTCCCAGTCAGCTGCCACATCAGCCAGTCATCCGTCACGTCATCAGTTGACTGCCACATCATCACCATAAAAAAGGCCCCCCATTTTCGACTGTTCCGGACGCAACGGTGCTGTCTATTTTTCAAAATACAGCTCTGATTTGTCCCAAACAGATCATTTAAGGTGTAAAATGACCATGGAAGAGTCATCTTCATCTTTTGGAGCTATGATTATGCTCACGGCTACCAATTATACACTGTGGAAACCTCGGATGGAAGATTTTCTCAGCTGTAAAGAGCTCTTTGACCCAATAGAGATGGAGGGTATTAACTGTATCCGTCCAAGGCATTAGAATGGAAGAAAATCAATAGAAAAACTATTGGTCAAATCCGACAATGGATAGACCATAGTGTCTTTCATCATGTTGCACAAAAAACCGACGCATATGTCCTTTGGAGGAAGCTGGAGGACATGTACCAGGCTAAGACCGCTCGGAATAAGGACTTATTGATGAGGCGCTTAGTCAATATGAAGTTGAAAAGTGGAACTTCTGTTGCCGAGCATACTAGTGAGTTCCATAGCCTGGTGAATCAGCTATCTTGTGTGGAGATGCCGCTTGGAGATGAAATGCAGTCTCTGCTACTTCTTAGTTCCCTTTCTGATAGCTGGAAAACACTCGTTGTTACTCTCAGCAATTCAGCCTCAAACAGTAAACTTTCCATGTCGGGTGTCAAGGATGCCTTATTCAATGAAGAGGCAAGAAGGAAAGACATGGGCACAGATCAGACCCATGCCCTTGTAATGGAGAATCGAGGAACACCACAAGGCAAGCAACAAAGAAGCAGTAGAGGGAAGAGCAGGGGTAGAAGCAAGGGGAGGCATACAGATGATCGGAGATCACATGTGTGCTATCATTGTGGTCTAGAAGGTCATATGAAGAAGAATTGCTATAAATGTCTCGAGGAGCAAGACAAGAGCAATTCTCAGCCGAAGAATAGTTCTCAGCAGAAGAACAAGCGCAAGGGTGGTGAAAGTCTCATCACTGTCTCAGGTGAGGTAGCATATTGCTCTACCCATGGTGAGACATGCCTTCATGTCTCAAGAGAAGACATGGAATGGGTGGTAGATACTGCAGCATCCTATCACGTTACTCCCAACAAGAAATACTTCAGAACATACCAAGCTGGAGACTTTGGATCGGTGAAGATGGGAAATTCCAGTTCCTCTAATATTGTCGGAATTGGTGATATCCAGGTAACGACAGGAATTGGGAGTACAATCCTATTGAAGGATGTTAGACATGTGCCAGATCTTCGGTTGAATCTTTTGTCAGTGGTGGCTGTGGACAAAGAAGGATATGAAAATCACTTTGGTTCAGACACATGAAAGTTGTCAAAGGGTATTCTGAAAATTGCCCGAGGACATGTTTGTGGGACGCTGTACAAAACACATTTGAAGATCAGTACAGAAAGTCTCAATGTTGCAGAGGAGGCTTCCCAGGATCTATGGCACCAGAGACTTGGCCATATGAGTGAGAAAGGGTTGACTACCCTAATGAAGAAGGATCTTATCAAGGTTGATAAGAGTGCTGCATTGGGTTCTTGCAGTCATTGCCTGTTCGGCTAGAAGCATAGAGTCTCATTCAATGCAAATTCAACAAAAATATCAGAGTTGTTAAGCTTGGTACACTCTGATGTTTGCGGTCTCATGGAGGTTGAATCATTGGGTGGAAGCAGATATTTTCTGACTTTCATTGATGACGCTTCTCGAAAGGTGTGGGTATATTTCCTGAATACGAAGGACCAGGTGTTTGAGTACTTCAAGTCATTTCACGTCATGGTGGAACGTGAAACAAGAAAGAAGCTGAAATGTCTCCGATCTGATAATGGAGGCAAGTATACTTCCAAGGAGTTCAATGCATATTGCAGGACATATGGCATTCGACATGAGAAGTCAGTACCACGTACCCCTCAACACAATGGTGTTGCTGAAAGAATGAATCGGACTATCATGGAGCGTGTCCGAAGCATGATGAATATGACTAAATTACCGAAGCCATTTTGGGGAGAAGCTGTCAAGACCGCATGTTATCTAATCAACCGATCACCTT